ATCACATTCAAACCAATGAATAGCGGAAATATCAACGGTAAGTCATAAGCCACAACCGGCCAACAACATGGGCATGCAAGCCCCAAAAATAGTTTATAGTAATTCAAATATCCATGAGCAAGTGTTCGGTAGTTTGAAAGAAAATAAGGAAGCACGAACCACGTCTTCCTGAAGTTGATATCACCCGTAAGAAGGTTCAAGTAGCAAGCCCTAGCTTCAACCTGAAAATGGTGTGGGGGGGGGGGCGAAGGGGTCAGCACAAGTACCGAGCGAGTAGCAGGCTAAATATAGAATAACTAGCGTTTCAATAAGATCCAAACATAGGGTGATACTTATACGAATAGTCTTTTCCCCAAGTTATGAAATACTTATTAGTATATATGTACTTGGAAAAATATCTGATCCGTAGATCACCGTTTTAATTGGGAAAAATAGTGATAATCAATATTCTTGACTAAAAACTCCAACCCACCCATATACCTATGAGTGTATAGGACTCCTCCTTGTCCCTATTTCAATATCATAATCTATGAGTTTTGAGGATCATAATCCTTGGGTACTCCACCAATATATTTTCGAGTGTTAAGGACTTTAAGTCCTAGGGACCTCCACCAAAATATAATCCGAGTGTTAAGGACTTTAAGTCCTAGGGTCCTCCACCAAAATATGAGTGTTAAGGACTTTTAAGTCCTAGGGTCCTCCACCAAAATATGAGTGTTAAGGACTTTTAAGTCCTAGGGTCCTCCACCAAAATATGAGTGTTAAGGACTTTTAAGTCCTAGGGTCCTCCACCAAAATATGAGTGTTAAGGACTTTTAGTCCTAGGGTCCTCCACCAAGTTTATAATCCTATGATCAACCTCCTATCATCCTAGATAGAGTCTATATCATATTTATTCATTCATAGCTAAATCAATACATAAAGCTTATGTATCACAATCCATGCAAAAGCCGTGCATTTATATAGATTTATAATTAATTAATACCAACCGGTATTAATAAATCCATCGGTCAACGTTTTCGTTGACCGCCATTTCAATCCTTGTACGTATCAACTTAATCATCATATAATTAAGTTGATAATATTTATTTGTGTTTCTCTTACACTTCAAACAAATATGCATTTTATATAATTCTTCATATCATATTCCATGCATCAACAATTAATTTCTTTCATACAAACTTAACCATGTTGGCTAATCACATGTTTAAGTATCTTTTAAACATCATTATGAACACATATAACATCTATTTAGGTAATCTCATAATTAACCCAAAAGTTATAAGATATTAAGCCGTCCACTCACCTCGAATTAGCGCTATGAAGTTATTATCACTCTTGTGACGAAATGAACAAGACGACATGATTCAAATCGTCGAACTGGGGGCATGTCGTCAGGCAGAGAACCTGACGAGATGATTGGAATCGTCTGGCTATAGACGGTTTATTACGATAGATATTTATCTTGTTTCATATATGTATTCTTAATTCATTACTTTCCTTTGCCAATAAATGGTCACTAACTTAAGCATCGGAGGGCCGTTGGCTCCTAGCCAATGGTCGACGTTAGCGAATTCTTTTTTACACAGGTACAACCAACAATTGAAGATGACGGAATTCTAACATACAAAGCCTTACAACACGTCAAAACACAATTGACGGGGGCTTACATCAAACAAAGCCTTACAACACGTCAAAACACAATTGATGGGGGGCTTACAGAATTTAATGGGAAGGGTTAGGCTGCCCATGAGAATATCATGGATCACAGTCCTAACACAGCCCATACAATACGTTTTGGCCAAAATCTATACACGTATATGACGACGCACGTGCAACCAAAACTACATAAACACACAACAGAAACACGTGCCCGAAGAGCACGACAACATAAGCTCCAAAACGTAAGGAGACAATACGAATGACATTTACATAAAACATAAATATTCATGTTGACGATATTACTAAAACTATAAACGAAACAGTATTCGAAGTTTTCTGCAGGATTTTGATAACATTTATGCAACCGCACTCGTCATTTCTAGCAACGGACAAAGTTCCCTCTGCCAACCAAAGCGTCAACATCAACCTGAACAAAGTTTCAACTCGTCAGCATTGCGTGGATACGATCACTAGCACAAGTCTGGAAGAAGAGAAAACGGTTGATCAAAGTGGAACATCAGCCAAGAATTCAAATTCATAATGATGACATTCTCTTCGTGCGCTCGCCATCATCATGAATTGGGGGCAAATGTTATACCCGAAAATTATCTGGCATTTGGGCCGATATATTTTTTAGCAACAAACGAAGAGCCCATCGGCAACAAGGAAGAACAACCCAATGCTGCGATCAAAGCAAGATCAATTTTGAAAGGAAAGAGTATTTGAAAGGGAAGTCTAAAGCTTGGGGAGGAAGTAAAAAATTAGCTATTAATTAAGCTATCTTCTATATATGGGCGGCAGGCATATCATGGGAGATTTTATGCAATCAACCATTAATTTCTTTCCTTATTCTCCTCATGTGCTCATGTATAAATTGTCTTAGGCAATGGCCATGTTTGGTAAATGGCTTATCAGCCAGTTTTTGGCTTGTTTGACTGTAATTAATGCTTTTGACCATCTAATCACCTAAAATTATTGTTTGGTAAATAGATGTTTGATTTAGCTTCTTGGACCCAAAAAGCTGAAATCCCACACGCTAGGGAGGGCAGCGTTTCAAGCTGGCTGTTCCGTTTTATCCCTTTTGTACCCTCCGATTTTACGCATCTTCACATATCTATAATCTATGCTTCCTTCGTCTCTGCTTCTTATTCTTTGGCCATGCCTCAGCTTCAGGAAATCTCCTGCCATCTACAAATCCTTCGTAGAAGATCAGAGCACTCTTCGGCCATAAAGGAATAAAAAGGTTTGTATTCTTATTAATGTTTGCATCCTTTTCTGAATTTTTTTCTCTATATTCGCTATGCTCTGTGTGTTCATTCTATGTTTTGTTCCTCTATTTCTTTCTACCTTAAATCTTAATATATAGGCTTTGAAATTGGTGTTGAAATTCCTACGTATTAACTATAGTTATAGCCTGGTATATATACTCCGTATATATTTTGAGGAAGGATTAACGTTTGTTATTGTTTATAATCTCAAAAAGCTTGTGCATACATATTATTACTCTGTACTAATGTGGGCGAAGATAAGGAGCATGCGTCACCCACCAACATTGACTAGTTGACTAACCAAAGCAGAACATTACGAAAAGGAAAAAAAAAAAAAGAAAAATGTATTATCAAGAAATCATAAAAACATTATCTAGACCTGCCTGAAAACTATGATACTCCATTGATGTATGCCGTACTGGAGTAGGTCTTAACAACAAAAATAAAATTAAATACAATGTCCTTATATGTCTTTTTACATGTAAACAGCTATTTTTGAACAATTAATTTACCAAACATTTGCTGACAACCAGCTAACATTATCAGCTAACTAAAACAGCTGACATAACCAGCTATTGTCAATCAGCTGTCATAACCAGCTAACAGCTAACAGCTAACAGCCGATTGCCAAACAAGGCCAATATGTAGAAGGGGGGAGGAAAACACACGATCAACACACGATCAAGCACCATTATTCTTCTTTTTTTGAGCTACTCAATTCTTCTTCCATATTCAATTGCAATTATTCCTAATAAAATTATTATCGATTCATATTTGCTCGATTCCCGTTTAATTCATACTTAATTTAGCATATTTTGGTCAAAACAGTCACAAACTCACAATATTACTCCAAAGGGTCAACGAGCACTGACCGGGCTAAGGGAACCGACATGCTCTTCACCAACTAATACAAGACTAAACATATTGTATGGTTTGACCATGCTCCCTCTGTCCCGAATTAGAAGATACTTCGGTTTATGATGTTTGACCGACGATAAAGCAAACGGATCTCGGTGTGCACTCAAATTAATTTTAGAAAAAAAGAATTACATATTCGGAAACTACATTAAAACCGCTACAAAACTTGCAAAAAATAATTCAAATTTCATAAAACTTTGATATATAAAGTAAGAGATTAAGAGTGATATGTGTTGACTAAGTGAATAGTAAAGACATCTTATAAAATGGGACAGAGGGGGTATTAAATTATGTGGAGTCATTTAATGTAATTTGAAGGAAGCTAAGGGAGTGTTTGCAACAACTTAAAAAAAACACTTCTCAGCTTTTGACTTAAAAAAGCACTTATTTACTAAACACTACATATTTTTACTTTTTCTCGGCTTGTGTGTGAAAAGTGTTTTTTCCTTTTCTATTACACAAAAAGCATTTATTTTACCAAACACTACCAACTTTTACTTTTCAAAATCACTTTTTTCTCAAACACTATCAACTTTTAGTACAAATCACTTTTTCTTTACATCTCCAAAACTACTTTTTTAAGTAGAATCAGTTGCAAACACTCCCTAAAACTTTTATGTGAAGATCAGATTGGATTCTATTTCACCGTTCTCGAGGAAAGTGAATCGATGCTAGAATTGTTGAGAAAGTACTATCAATCCCTCACACAAATACAAACCTTTTCAGCCTTAAATTTCATATTAGGCTTGCAGCTTGCCTAATGGTTACAAGGTGTTTTTAACTAGATTAAAATTTTCTCGTTTATGTCTATTCTGTGGTTGGGTCTAGGATGATTATCTAAGAGCATCTTCAACGGTTAGTTAATTACTTTCATAACTTGACTAACTCTAATGGTTAGCTATAACTTCTTTCTCTTCATTTATTATTAACAAAGTTATACGAGTATTTAATAATTCTCTTTGCTCAAGCTAGTAACTCATTTTAACTATTTAGCTTTATCAAGCAAAAGAAAAGCAATGCTCTAATGATAAACTACTGATTTTAAAATTGCTAACAAGTCCTTATAAAGACAATATATATTTTATTATTGTCTAAACTGGTCAAATCTAGTCCATTTATGTCTGATTTGATCAGTTTAATTCCCATCTAATGTGCAATAATGAATTAATTTCAATTCCATCTCTAGTTTTTCTAATAGAGTTGAATAAATTGTATTGACAATTTGACATGATTCCTATAGCCCAAACTACCTAGCTATGAATCGGTAATCCAATCCTTTGGTTCCACAACACTATTTTGAAGTATATAATAATATACGGATTACGAAATGGGAAAAACTAGAATCAAATTATTGATACAGTATAGTTTAATATAGTAATCCAAAAATAATTGCACTCCTTGGAAAAAAAACCGAATCATCTCACTGGTTGCAAGGACAAGAGTCACAAGACTATGGCTGTCAGTGGAGACAACTTCAAACTCTATCCTACAAAACATAGATGGGAAAGGATTCAAGATGAGGCCTTGGTAGCAGCAGATTGCTTCTTAAAGCCTTCTTGTTTCTTCTCAGGATTTGCAGCCTTCTTCCTGTCCTTCCTCTCCCTCTTTTTCAAAGCAGTCATCCGAGCCTTTAATAAAATTGCGTAGGAAGCTTGAAAACGCTGGTGATCTTTTGGGCCCACCTGTTAGTCAATTCAATTCATGTATATAGTTAGCAACAAGAACAATGAGGTTAAAAATAACCTCCATAAATAGAAAAGCATGGCAAGGAAAACGTAGAGAACAGAATATGGTCTACATTTAGAACACTGTAAGGGGAAACAAGGGGTAAAGGCACGAGTGCTTTCAAGCTTTCAGCTTAAGCTATAGGAAGGTTAACCAAATCCGCTTCCTGCTGATATATTACTTCTGATTCAGATGTCTATCCAGCCATTTTTTTAGTGACCCTGATGGAACATTGTCTGTTACTAAGTGAGATTACTCATTCACAAGACAACCCAAAAATCACCTTATAAAAGCTCTTTTACCCAATCCAAAATGTTTATTCAGCAAGCAAAGTAAACAATCTCTCAAAGAATGACCCCTTAATCCTATAGACACGTCTTAATAGAGACACATAGTAATCCAGACATGACTTAATGAAAAAAAGTAAAACCCCCTTTACTCAAAAGACCGAATTTTTCAAAACCAACCAGAAAACTACTTACAAGCAAAACAGGTGACATGCTACTTTAAACTAGGGTCTCAACTTAGAAAACAAAGTAAACATGAAGCAAAACCTAGGGGGTACTTAATAAGTGTGTGAAGCATGTTTTCCAGTTCCTATTCAAGGGGTTGAACAGCGAAGACACACCATTGTTTTCACAAAGCAGATCAAAGATTGATTCTCACTATTAGTAGATTCAGATAAGATTCATATGATACAAAATTGAACAAAAAGAAATTCTTAAAAAAATGCATTATAAGTTCTTTACCATGGTAGAAATGTTCTTTTTTCCGTCAGTTGCTCGAATAAGGCACTTATATTCAATTTTTTCACCAGACGTCTTCAGTTTATTTCGTTGGGCTTTGGACTTATCAGAAGCTGCAAGCTCATAATGCAAAGAAAACTTAATTGTTTTGATAAAATCATTCAACAAAGAAATAAATATCAGTATATACACTATATTACAGTGCTTTAGTGTGACCCAAACAGAGCCCGTTTCCATAGTTCGCTCAAACATGCTTGTAAGTTCATTGAGGAATGGGTCAGGCTGTAACCGCACCTAGTAAAATCAAAAGCAAAAGTAAGCAGTGTGAAATAATGTAAATCTAGAAAAAACATAACCCTTACACAATGAAGCATGGGAAAGAGTGTGTTTCTGTTTTGGAAACTCTAGAGATACTCTTTACAAGCTCTTCAAACACATGTTTTTCTATTAAAACATGACGTTTCCTGTTTCCACATGTTCCCCACGTTTCCGTGCAATATAGCCCTTACATGTTCAAAATTTAATGAAAAGTGAGAAGTGTCTTGATATTCATCACACGTGGTACATATGTATATGCACACACATACATATGTACTTAGGAGCACTACAAAATATCATGATTTTGACAATCATTTTACACATAATTCAGCGGTTAAAACCATATGCTGGTACAAAATTACAAAAGCAAACCATAAAATACATTTGATGATGACAGAATGACAAGTTAACACCCTTTTCTTCATTTGTAAAAGCAAATCATAAGTCTCACCACAGCATTAAAGGAATTTTTGTTATTCCCATGCAGATATCTATTCAGGCTGTAATTCTAATTATAACTATTAGAAATAGAAACAAAGCATGGTTTTCTGTTCCTTGCTCAATCATGTTGCCATTCTAAAATCTAAATTGCCTAAAGAAGCAAGACACTTAGGGTTATTTGTATTGTTCTCTAATTGGCATTGTGAAATTGTGCATGCCCCATCTCGCAATCACTTACAAGCTTTGACTTCCACACCTTAGAAGAATGGAACTAAGTCCTCCTAGCCCCAGATAGTCTATACTGATACGGATAATACTTTAATTAAATAGATAATTATTTAATATTGTATTTATCTTCTCTAACAACCCTCTATTATCTTCACCCGTATAGATAGTGTATAGCTTATCTCTTAGTTGTTTACTTCTACTCAATCTCTGTATCTATATATATGTCATGTAAACATTGTTTATCATCAATCGAATATACAATTCCTTCAATGGAACTAGTCCTGCTGTTACTCTCAATCAATATGAGGGCGAGTAAGAAGAAAAAAAAGAAGATCTGACATTCTTTCTTTGATGATGTAACCATTTTAAGTACAATCCAAAAAAAATAGTTTGGGATCGCCCTGCACTTAAAAAATTAACCATGCAATGAGCTACCTATATTCGAATTTCCAAAACCCCATCTTGAGCCAAACAGAATCTTGCAAACGAGCTACTATTCAGACAAGAGCACAAACTAGATGTCGCAATGAAAGACAGGACAAACGGAACCGCAAAGTAAATCCAGTATCGATTTAATAAACCTATTTTGGCAATCAATCGGCAAGGTCTGAAAGTAATTCATTTTCAAAACTGATCAGGTCTCTAATTCCATGACTTCTTTAGAAGGAAAAAATCAGAGAGTTTGTATATAAAGAGAAAGATCGTTAGATTAATCACATGTATGAGTTTACCATCTTCCCAATGTGTTTCTCGGTAGTATTACGGCGGATGTAAAACAAACCAAGGGAATGGAAAGTTCCTCTTTTTCTTTTCGATCGCCCGGGGAGTGTGGGCACAGCCAGCGGACTGGGTTGGAACTTGGAATACGCTGGTTCAGCAATCAACACTTCAGCGACTCAGCACTCAACCCTCTTTATACTTACCTCTTTTATACTCCGTATGTCTAGTTTTCTTTTTTAGATTATCTCAAAAGTGAATGTCATACTACGTATTTAAATTTTTGAAAAAAAAATATGTGAATTGCGAGTATATCATTAGATTTTATTTTATTAAAATCTTAATAACTTCTCGTAATTCTCAAACACTTTATTGATATTTGTACCAAATCAAAACAAGAGACATAATTTGATCGAAAATAGTACTATGTATAATAGTAGTACTTACGTATGATATACTTAAATAAAAAAATTGACTCCATTTGTTATGACAACAAATTGACAATAGTGATTGTGTCAAATGTTTTAGTTAGATAATTATGTTAGCCGGTTGTCAACAAATGTTTGATGAATTAATTGTTCAAAAATAACTGTTTGCGTCTAAAAAAAAAGACATTGTAATAGTTTTCAGGCAATTCTAGATAAATTGTTTATGTTTTTTTGACAATACATGTTTGAATGTTTCCCCTTTTTATACCAATAGCTTAATTAGTCAAATGGTCGATCATGATAGCGGGCCTCCCTTTCGTAATTTTCTACTTTGATTAGTCAACTAGTCAATGTTGGTGGGTGACCCATGCTCCTTATCTTCGCCCACATTAGTATAGAGTAATACGTAGTAGGGCTAGGCACGGGCCGGGGCGGGGCGGGTAATGCAAAATAAAATGGAACCGCCGATTCCATTGTACGATTCGGTCCGGTCCAGGTATTACAATTTTCAAAATAGAAACCGGAAATTACCCGGCCCTTTTGAAACGGGTCAGTCCGGTCCGGGTTTTACGGTTTCTATTCTCATGTCTTGAAATTAGTAAAAACTCACGAAGTTCCAAAAATCAATAATCAATAATATCGGACATTAGCAAGTTTCAAAATAACAACATGGTGGTGTATATATAACACAAGCGAAAAGTCCAATTCTCCATATTTTCTTGTATATAAGTTTCAAACAATTAAAGAAATTCCAAAAATATGCAACATAGCCAAAATACATATTTTCTAACATTTGTATTTAAACATGTTGTCTAACATCACATATTAAAGTGATTGCTTTTTTTTTATATTAAATTTTCAGTATGAGCGAAAGTTGACACATATATGGTAGGTCGTAGACACAATTTATATATATATATTTTTTGTCGATGACACAATTTATATATTTTAATAACAATATAATAAAAAAAATATAACAAAATCATCTTTAACAAATAATTAAATTCCATAGAAAGGAATAATTCAATAACAATAAAAAGTAATAAGATATTTATGAAACATTTAATCAATAATTTGAAAACAAAAGGATGTTACTGCAACTCAATTTAAAATTCTACTTCTAGCATAAGAAACAAAACTATTTCAAAACCGATTATCACAAAACTATTAATAAATTAATATACAATATATATAACGGGCTGGGCCGGGTACCCGTTATTTTTTAATTTTGGAACCGGTCCGGTTCCTTAAAAAAATTACCCGACCCTACCCGGACCGTTTTATGGAAACAAAAAATGAAACCGGCCCGTTTTGGACCCGAACCGCCATTACCCGGACCGGACCGCGGTTCCAAGACCCGTTTGCCCACCCCTAATACGTAGGGAGGGTTTGCAATTGCTTCAACTTTAAAAAAATGATTTTCTAAAATGATTTTTGGAAAAGTGATTAATAGTAAAAGTTGGTAGTGTTTGAGAAAAAAGTGATTCTGGAAAAGTAAAAGTTGGTAGTGTTTGGTAAAATAAGTACTTTTTGTGTAATAGAAAAAGTGAGAAGCAGTTTAAAGCACCTTCTACCTGCTTCCAGCTTTTAGCTTTTAAGTGATTAATTTAAGCAGAAGCAGTCATTTGAAAACACTCTTTTCAACTTTTTTTAAGCCAAAAGTTGAAAAGCGCTTTTTTTAAGCAAACCCAAACACTCCTGTAGTATGTATCCACAAGCTTTTCAGATTATAAACAATAACAAATGTTAATCCTTCCTCAAAATATATATGAAGTATATATATACCGGGCTGTAACTATAGTTAATACGTAGGAATTTCAAAGCCTATTAAGATAGAAAGAAATAGAGGAACAAAACATAGAATGAACACACAAAGCATGTAGCGAATATATAAAATAATCAGAAAAGGATGCAAAAACTAATAAGAATACAAACTTCTTTGTTTCTTTATGGCCGAAAAATACTCTTCTACGAAGGATTTGTAGATGGCAAAAGATTTCCTAAAGCTGAGTAACGGCCAAAGAATAAGAAGTAAACACGAAGGAGGCAATAGACATATCATATATGAAGAGGCGTGAAATGAGGGTACAAAAGGGATAAAACGGAACACCCAACTTGAAACGCTGCCCTCCCTAGCGTTTGAGATTTCAGCTTTTTGGGTCCAACAAGTTAAATCAACCATCTATTTATCAAACAACAATTTTAGATGGTTAGATGGCCAAAATCATTAATTATAGGCACACAAGCAAAAAAAATGGTTGATAAGTCATTTACCAAACATGGCCTTTATGTACTTTGTTTTTTTGGATTGTCCCAAAATAAGTGTCTTGTTTTCTTTTTAGAAAGAAAAATATGTGATTTACATCATTCTCATTATTATACTCAAATATCAACCATAACTTCTACTTGTTCAACCACTTTATAAAAATGATGCCAAACCAAAACAAGACAAATAAAAAGAGATGAAGTTAGTACATATCACCCAAACTGTATCACACTTGACACCACCGATTGTATATGCCCACCGTATAATAAGTGACATTTATGTGAATATGCCCACCGTATAATCAGTGACATTTATGTGAATTTGTTCAACTTTAAGGGAATTATTTGAAAATGATTTCCTTCTCCAGTTATCCCAGGTCATTCTTCCCTTTTCCAATATGACAAACTTTCACAGGGCGTCCTGTCATTCGCTTCCAAACTTATCCCAGATCGTTCTTCCCCAATCTCATAAAACTAGGCATGGACCCGGTTCGGGCCGCCCGGCCCGCCACTGTGCGGGCCCGGAACCGGCCCGGTTCTCGGGTCCGGGTCCGGGTCGGGCCTAGGCCCGGTGGGGGGCGGGTCCGGGTTCGGGCCTTGTATTTGGCGAACCGGCCCGGCCGGGTCGAGCCCGGGCCCGGGCCGAATTGATTTTTTTTTATTTTTTTTCATTTTTTGGGGTTAGCCGGGTTGGGCTTGATGGTTAGGAGGGGTTTGGGGGTTTGGGGGGGTGGGGGGGTTAGGAAAGCAAAAAAAAAAAAAATATGACCGAACCGGAGGCCCGGCCCGGCCCGGACCCGGTGGCTACCCGGGCCGGTCCCGGGCCTTCCTTCCCAAAAAAAAGCCCGGCCGGGCCCGGCCCGGGTCTATGACTACATAAAACAGCCATCTTTAGAGTACTAGGCGTATTTTTTGACTTTTTTGTCCTCCAATACATTTTGACTTTTTTCTGGTGAATGTAGTAGGCATGTTTTTGTACAATTTACTACTCCCCGGTCCTGCAAAAATTGTCTCATTTAACCTTTTCAGGAAATCCCACTATGATTGTCACATAGTAAATTTGGTAAAATTTGGTTAACTATAAATCTTTTTTACTTTAATCGTACTTTATCAATTCAATGTCAATCACATAAACTCACTTTTTTTAATACTCATGTGACCTCTTCTTGTCTCAATGTTAGTAGGATGAAAGTAATATGGAGTACAATTTAGTATTTAAGATTTTCAATCCCATATTTACCTTTGTTCTACACTCTTTAGTATGACTTTTGGATAGAGTTTCAATAAGTTAAATCATCCAACTAAGATACATATTTTGTATATACACCTTCTTTGATAATTACACGCTATCAACATATAACTATTCAAAGAATAAGAATACATTGTGAGTATAGAATCCATTGATAACATGGAGTCATGGACACTATATATAGCTCTACAGCACCACAACCAATTAAGAAGATGAAAATGACCCTATGTTTAGAGCACACACTAAAATCTTATTACAATTACATCACTTAATGAGCCTCCTGCCTCTAATTTTCACCATGTGAAGGAGATGGAAGGATTGTGATTATAAGTATCCCACTCACGGCGGCTGAAACTGCTCCTGCTATAAACGCAGGCAAATTCCCACCACCAAACAATGCGTCCCAAGGTCCACTCAAGAATGACACCAGCAACTAATAATAAAATTATGGTTAGAAATAATAATGACAATAAATAAATGTATAGATCAATCACAATTAGCATCCATGCAAATTTAAAAATTTTATAATTAATTAAATGCTTAGTTTTAAATTTAATAGAACTATCTCTAAACTAAAATAGATCATACACTACTTTCAATTCGCATCATTTGTATTACATATTAATATCAATATTGGAAGGAGAAAAAGAAAAATGAAAAATAAAGCCATAAGAGTTTGTATATGCGTTAGTGTAACACAGGGACATGTATGCATAATTGCACATAGACAAATTACCCTCAATAGGAGTAAATATGTTTTGAAATTCAAAAACAGAATTGTTATATGTTTTTCTTCCAGAAGGTGTTCCTGTGCGCAGAAAATTTGTTTTCATTTTAGTAAAGAAAAATGTTTGACCCAGACAATTCATTTTGAGGGTTCACAAACACTCCCCTTTACTAAAATAAAAATCAATTATTTATGCACAAACAATTACAAATAGGCGTGTATATTAGTGTGTACAAGTAGAACGTTGATAAATACACACTATACTCCATTAAAGGAATGGAAAGGACTATTGATGAAGCGCCGATGAAACATTGTTTTTAAAACTATTGATGTAGATCATCTTCAAGGACAAGGCTAAGGCCGGATAAGCGAAGATATCCCTCTCCAAAAATATTGTTATTTAAAAATCATACACTTACCTAGCTATATAGTGACATTACTAGATATTGATGACACTATTAATGTCATTTTTGGTAATATTTTCCATTCATCGTGATAAATACTCTCATATAGGGCCAATGACATGGTGCTTCTATTTTAAAATCTCATATTGTT